CAGAGGTAGGGTGGGGCGAGGCCATGGAGGGCTTTGTAGGTGAGGACCAGGATCTTGAACTGGATCCTCTGAAGGATAGAGAGCCAATGGAGTCGGGCGAGAGTGGGGGAGATAGGGTCACGGAGTTTGGTGCAGGAGAGGACACGGGCTGCAGAGTTCTGGATTATCAGCAGTGTAGAGGGAGGAGTTGGGAAGGCCGACAAGCAGGACGTTTGCATAGTCGAGCCTGGAGGTGATGAAGACACGAACAAGAGCTTCAGCAGCCTGAGGGGTGAGGTAGTGGCGGAGTCGGGTGATGTTACGGAGGTGAGGGAAGGCAGAGCGGGTCATGGGTTGGATGTGGGGAAAAAAAGACAGTTGAGGGTCGAACAAGACACCAATGTTCCTGACTGGCTTGGTGAGTTGTAGTGAACAACCATGGAGGTTGATGCTGCCAGAGCCTGAGGTGCTGGTGTGAGCCAATCAGGAGGGCCTCAGTCTTGTTCACATTCAACTGTAGGAAATTTGTCCTCATCCAGGACTTGATGTCCAACAGACAGTCTGTCAGGACAGCAGTGATTCTGGAGTTGAGGGTGGAGGATCAATGATAGAGTTGGGTGTCATCTGCATACATATGGAAGTTGACCCCATGTCTGCGGATGATGTCACCAAGGGGAGCATGTAGATATTAAAGAGGAGAGGGCCAAAGACAGAGCCCTGGGGGACGCCAGACGTGACAGTGCGGAGGCTGGAGGAAAACCGTTAGAGGCAACAAAGTGGAGACGGTGAGAGATAAGAATCGAACCAGGCAAGGGCAGGTCCGCGGAGATTAAGTAAAGAGGAGAGGCGGTCTATGAAGATGGAGTGGTCGACAGTGCCGAAGGTGGCAGAGAGGTCGAGGAGGACAAGGAGGCAGAGGGAGCCCTGATCTCAGATGTTCAGAATGTCATTAGTGACTTTCACCAGGGCTGTTTCCGTGCTATGGGCAGCACGGAAGCCGGATTGGAGGGGTTCCCACAGGGAATGGCGAGAAAGAAAGGAACGGAGCTGGGATGCGATGACTCATTCCAGGACCTTGGAGAGGAATGGGAGGTTAGAGATGGGGCGGTAGCTGGAGAGGAGAGATGGATCCTGGGAAGGTTTTTCAGGATGGCGGTGATGACGGCTATTTTTAGGGAACTGAACCGGTGGACAAGGAGAGGTTGATGACGTCTGACAGGAGAGGGGCCAGAAGGTGGAGTTGGGAGATGAGGAGAGAGGTGGGGATGGGATCAAGGGAGCAGGTGGTGGGTTTGTGTTTGCGGACAGTCGTGGTGAGGGAGAGATAGGGTCGAAGAAGTATAGGGGGGGATGGGTGGGGAGTGGGTCATGAGGTTGAAAATCGATCCAATGGTAATCTGGAAGCAAGTGAACACTTGGATATCTAGATATCATTGAAAAGAGCAATTTCAGGACAGATACCAGGAAATTTTTCTTATCACAGGGGGTAATTAACGATTGGAACAGGTTGCCATATAGTTGTAGGCAGGACACTGGACATTTATAAAACATGATGCTGTGATGGGAGGAAGGTACTCTGGAAGGATGCGATCAGATGGGCTAAAGAACCATCTTCATTCAAACTAATCTTGTGATCCTTGTGAACAAGCACAGCTGATTAGAAGTGAAACCAGAAAATATTTCTTCACATAAAGGCTTATGAGTGTGTGGAATGCACTGTGAAGGATGTTGATGCAGAACCGATTGGCCTGTTTAAAACAGTCCAATCAATTCTGGATAGTTGGGAAGTAATAATAGATATAATAATAATCCTTGCATTTGATATAGCACCTTATCATGCCTTCAAGACGTCTCAAAGCGCTTCACAGAATATACTGTAAAGTGAATTGACTGTGTATTTTGTGGGTGAAACACGGCAGCTAATTGCGCACAACAGTATCCCATAAACAATTGTGGATTGAGTGATCGATTTTATGGACTGCAAAGGGATCCAAATAACAAAGAAAAGGAATAAAACAGTCATCATTCTCAAAGCAAGCAAATTTCTTACTTTTCATTAGTCCAAAATTAGAAATCATGTTCCCAGGTGAATCAAGAGCTCTGAGACATTACCCTGATGCTACCTGGCATGGAAGGTGCTATATAAGTGCAAGTTGTTGTTGTTGTTAATTGGGAAGTGAAAATCTGCTGTACTGGAAAATAATTTGCATTAAGAATTCCTGACCAAGATGTGCATATTTAAAAAGAACAACGTCAATATTCCTGATTGCATGCCGCAAGTCACATTCACAGTCAAACAATGAGAAAACACGCAATACAACTGGTCCCAATTCAAAAATATATTCTAATCATAGGCTTCATCTGAATTCAGATACATAGAGCCTATTTACCTGTAGTGTTGCTCAATGTTTTAGCAGGAATAACATGAGATCAATCCCAAAGATATGCATTTTTCACTGTATTCAGAAATGATTGCAATCCAGCAAATGTTAAAACGTTTTATCACTTCATAGTCCATCGCTTTATTTGCAGAAATAATTTTTGAAGATATTTGGGAAGTAAGGGAATTCAATGCATTGAGAGAAAATGAAGGGAAATGAGATTAAAATATCTGCCATAATCAAATAAAAATGGTGAAATGTGTTCAACGAACTCAAAAGTTCCAATGATTACAAATATGGTAAGTAGTTGATTTTGACTTAACACACACATTATGCACACACTCACTTACTTTTATTTTATACTTTCCCTATTTATTGGACAGAATAACTTTGATCATGAATAATTAAAACTGGTTCCACAGTACTCTGTGAGTGCAATAAGTGAGCAGGAAATGCATTTCTGTCAGCATTACTTCCACCCAATGCAGCAAAATCGAGACAAGAACTGTGCAATCAGTGGAGGCCACATTCAATGGCAATTGCTGAGTTTTCCTATTAGTAGCCCAATATTCTACTACTCATGTCCCCAGAACTCATGATATATTTTGTTACTATCTTATAGAGTGTATGAGCCTGTGGTCCATCAGAGTAGATTCATAGCCAGAATATCATGAAGTATTCATACAGCATCTAATTCCAAAATAAAATAACATCCACTTCTCCTTGTCTTATCTGTCTGAAGTATATCGCTTTGGGTCCCTTGTCCTTCACTAAGTATGGTGCCTAGTCTCTACTGAATGCAATACACGAAAAGGCTTGAAGGTCTCCAGTCTATATGTCTCAACCTTACCGGCCTTTCTCTAGTTTATCAATTCTGCTACAGTTATTTCCCTCTTGTTAAGCTTTCGGTGCCCCATTCTTCTCCTCATTATTCTGGGGAAATCAAGATTCATCAAATTTGTCTCATACTCTTGTCTCATTCTTTCCCTGGATCTCAATAAATACAATATATATATATATGTCATGTACTCACAGTGCTGAATTTTACATTTTACTTGGCAGAAGCAGAGGGGTTGTACCACGAAAGAGGAACACAGAACCTCCTGTATACATACATATTATATATATATGGTGTTTTCTGACTGTTGTCTTAAGACCTTCCTCTTCAACTGTGCCTTCGGTCATCTTCCCATCCCACCCCCTTGCCTGCCACCCTCGTTGATTCCAATCCCCAGCTCGGGTACAACCCATTCACTGAACAGCGCCTTGGGAGGTGCTCCTGACGTGAAAGGCGCTCTATAAATGGAATTTGTTATTATTGTTCTTGTTGTTTTCATTCTCCTCTGCCAATCTTTTCAACCTTGCTAGTACTGGAGGTTTTAGTGCATCACCTAGGTTTCTCAATTGAATAGTTGTCCAAAAAAATGGAGTATAAAATTGGGCATTGTGAAAATCTTGCATTTGATATTGCATCTTGCGTCAAAGTGTCTCAAAGTGCTTCACAGATCATTGTTGTCAAATGTAATGACTATATATTAGGTTTTTACACAACAGCCAACATGCACACATCTGTGGCCCACACATTAGGGAGTCCTGTAGCTCAGTGGTTAGAGCACTCGCCTTGCAAGCAAGAGACCTAGGTTCAATTCCCAGCAAGGTGAAACCTCGGGCAAGTTTCTTTACTCCACACGCCTGATAATAATCCCTCAAGAAAAAAAATTATAAATTGGTCACTTCAATCCACGGCTGTTTGTGGGACACTGCTATGTGCAATTGGCTGCCATATTTTGCCCACAAATATACAGTCAATTCACTTTACAGTATGCAAGGATTATTATTTTTTATATTATCACATTAAACTCCCACAAACAATCATGAACCAGATGACAAATTTATCTGAAGTAAGGTTGGCCAAGGCATGAGGAGAACCTTCCTTCTCTTCTCGCTTTGCAAGCGAGAGACCTGAGTTCAATTCCAGGCAGGGCGAAACCTTGGGCAAGTTTCCTTACTCCACACAGAGCCTAATAATAATCCCTCCAAAACCAAAAACAATAATAAATTGGTCATTTTCAATCTACGATTGTTTGTGGGACATTGCTGTGCACAATTGGCTGCCGCGTTTGCCCCCAAATATACAGTCAATTCACTTTACAGTATATTCTGTGAAGCACTTTGGGACGTCCTCCCGACGTGAAAAACGTTATATCAAATGCAAGGATTATTATTATTATTATTATACAGACCAAATAGCGGAATTCTCAGCTTGGTTTAGTGATGGGTTTCCACATGTGTCAGACACCCGGTTGATCAAAAGAAAACATGGTTTCTACAACTCGCTGCATTTTATAACAGTCAGATCCACAATTGGAGGAGTGTTTTGGTACCATCTGCAAAGTTGGGCAACTTGAATACGATACCGGTTTCCAACCATTCACAAGAAATAATTTATCCTTATTAAGTATTATTATCCTAATTCATTTATCCTTATTGAGTAAAAACGTGTTACGTAAACATGTGAAGCAGCGGAGGAATGAATTGCCTGATGTTTGATTGGTTTTAAACAGTAATATCTGAATGGACCACAGTCCTCTGAACGAATAAAGCCACAGCGGTGACTGTGCGCACAGTGGCTGTCCTTACCCGGGCATCAATGCGGGAGGGATGTATGTTGCATTGTGCGTGGTCAGCAGTGTCCCAGCGCTGCGGGAAGCCATGTGCCGTCCCAAAGTTTGTTTGGGAAAGGTTGCGGATCAAAGCAATCGCTGCACTTTCAGATCAGATTTCTTTGCGAGTCTTTTTTCTAACGTGGAGAGAGGATGACTCCGCCACCAGTCCCCTCCGCCTCCTGCAGTGTAACACACTTGTTTCCAGGCAACCGGACGGCGCTGTGAGTCCACGACATCAACAGCAGACTCAGCAATTGTCCACACACACCGCCCCGAGTGTAACAGCAACTCTTTGGCATTTTGCCACGACTGGCGATAAGCAATCCACAGGGATTATCCCACTGCTCGCAAACACTTCACTTTAGACCTTGTATTGCTTCACTTTGCAACATTTGTTTTGCAAGTTAACTTCTTGAGAAGTTGAGGATTGATAACTAAAATGCCATGTGCAAGTACCCTGATGTGTACATTCACGCTATGGTACACAACACAGGTATACAAACTGTACTAATATATATCTATCAACCTTTCTCATTCCCCTCTCCCCTTTTGAGATACAACTATGATGTTACCTTTACTTTACTCCAACAATTCCTTCTTTGTTCATGATATCATGACTTGATTTATACTGCATTCCCATCTTGATTTACCACTGATATACCAAAAGTTGGTGTGGTTTGGGAAAACAATACTGAAAAGTAAGTCTATTCATTTCAATGTTTCAATCTAAACTGATCCAAAGTTGTGCACTTAAAATTAAACTGTGACTGAACATTTTGTAAAGACGTTGAACGTCACTCCATTAGTTTATTCAGTTGTTTTTTTCATTGTAATACTGAAAGGTCTGCGGAGTCTGAGTGTCTTGGGCATGTGTAAGGCACTGTGGTGACAGTGATAATTTATTTCACAGGTCATTGTTCAAGTTTAGTTTAAAATAGAAGTTGCAATTTTCCACCGAGCAATACAAGTGGCTCGTGGCAGTTTCCACATTGTTGGAAAAGCAATTAAGGTACTTCAATGATGCCGCAAACCAATTAGGACAGGAAATCTATAGATTTTTGCTGCCTCTGAGCATTCTGAATCGTGGGGTATTTAATCATGGCTTGGGTGGGCGTAAGGTTTACAAACTGTGTGTTGAGTGCCGGAGCTTTGGCATTGTGAGAAGAATTTTGTATTAAATAATGGCATATGCTCCCATTGTATCTATGCTGAGAGGGATACAAACTAGGCTAGAGGTTTTTGCATATATCTATGGGAAGGATATAAGGCCCAGACTTGACCTACAAATGCACAACAAGAACAACAATTTTGCATTTATGTAGTCGCGCCTTTCACTTTGGGAGGATGCCTCAAGTGCTTCACAGAATTTAATTCTGTAGCTTTCAAAAGGGAATTGGAAAGGAGTTGGAGCTCATCCAGCTTTTGTTGTCAGAGAAGCAGGCAGTCAGAACATTGGTAGGACTAGGGTCATAACTAGAGGAGGAAATATAGATTTGGGTGTCATCTGCATAGATGTGGATGTTTACCTGATGTGTACCGATATAGCAGCATTTACATGTTCCCTCTTTATTATATCAATTTAGAAGGAAACATTTGCAGGGCTATGCTGTAAGAGCGGGGAGTAGGACTATTTGGTAGCTCTTTCAAAGAGCCAACACAGACACTTTGGGCTGAATGGCCTCCTTCTATGAATCTATAATGGTATGGCAGCCTGTGCTAGGGTCGGGGAGTTAACGACAAGGGAGGAGAAAGGTGACCAAAAGCATAATGAAGAAGAAAGGGCTTATACTTCACAGGAATTACCTGGGAAGTCCAGGGGTCTGAGGGATAGGCAGGGAAGGTTAAGGAGTTCAGGATCTCAGATGAGAAGACATTGGGAGCCAAGGAAGATGGCTTCTGGTTTGTCCATGTTCAGCTGCAGAAAGTTAGAACTCATCCAGCCCTTGCTGTCAGAGAAGCAGACAGCCAGAACATTGGTAGGTCTACAGTCATGATTGGAGGAGAAACAATAGATTTGGGTATCATCTGCCTACATGTGGACTTTTACCTGATGTGTACCGATGTAGCAGCATTTACACGTTCCCTCTTTATTATATCATCTGCAGACATAATGTCAACTTCCACTTGTATGCAGAACCTTGGGGTACACCATCGGTGACCATGTGGGCTGGGAGCAGAACTCATTAGGGGAGAGAAAATGGTGTCAGTGGGTCACGTAAAACTTGCATAGGAGGACACTGAGGTGGATGAGGGAGGAAAAGCGATCGAGGAGGGTGCCACGATCCACTGTGTCAAAAGCAGAGGAGTGGTCCAGGAGGACAAGAAAGCAGAGGGAGCCCCGGTTGCAGAGACAGAAGACGTCATTTGTAACCTTGATGAGTGCTATCCCAGTGCTGTGACTTGGAGGGAGTGGCTCGAGAAGAGAATGGAAGGAAAGGTGTGAGTGAACTTGGGTGACCAACAACACATTCCAGGACTTTAGAAAGGAAGGGTAGGCTTGAGATGGGCCGGTAGTCAGTGAAGTTTGACAGATCAAGGGTGGAATACTAACAAGGATAATATTGATTTTTTTAATGTTTTCGTTAAGTTCTTCCTCAGGTATCAAGCTGTGTCCAAAAGAGTGGGCATTCAATCGAACATCAGTCTCTGCCAATGCTGCTCTTTAACCAATTACTGGAAGGTGAAAAAGTAGCTGATTTTCTCTGCGCCCGGTGTTGAAGAGAATAGTCTCTGCTTATTCTCACATTCCAACAACTCAGTTGCAATCATGAATTCTCCACTTGGGGAATCATGAGCAAGAACTTTGTAGCTGCCACAGTATTGTACTGCATTGTGAGATCTTGATTTCAATTGAGAACGACATCCATTCCACTTTCAAACCATACAATAGTGCTGACTTTGTGTTCTAATCTGTGTGTACAAGATACTTGAATACAAATACATATTGAATATTATAGCTACAACTTTGAAGACCTACACAGTTGGATTCCTCTTTGCAAAGTTAGCTCAGTGTCATTGACAGCCCAATGTTTTTTGATTTCAAGATCCTCATCCTCACCTACAAGGCCATTCACGGCCTTGCTCCCTCCTACCTCTCCAACTTACTATCCCCCTACCTACCTGCCCGTACCCTCTGTTCCTCCGGCTCCGGTCTGCTCCACGTCCCCCGCCCCAATCGCCCTACCATCGGTGGTCGGGCCTTCAGCCTCTCAGCCCCGAGGCTCTGGAACTCTATCCCCCAGTGCCTTCACCTTGCTTCCTCCCTTTCCTCCTTCAAGGCCGGTCTCAAGACCTTTCTCTTTGACCGTGCCTTCAGCTCCCCTCTCGACTCTCTACCCCTCCTCGCTCCCTCCCTTCCCTCCCCTCACCCTGACCATTTCCTCGCTCCCTCCCTTCCTTCCCCTCACCCTGACCATTTCCCCCTTGCTCGGGTCATGACCCAACTGTGCAGCGCCTTGGGACGTCCTCCTGACGTGAAAGGCGCTTTATAAATGGAATCTTGTTGTTGTTGTTGTTGTTGTTTCCATTTGCAGTTGGTGAGATTTTTGCTTGTATTCTTTTTTTTGTGTAAAGTTTATTAAACCGTCAATTTTGCGGGCAGTCAGATATTCAAATCTAAGCTGCTGGCAGTCAGATATTCAAATCTAAGCTGCGGGGAGCTTAGATTTCTCTTGAGTTCAAAGATTTATAGGTATTATTAGTTTGGTATTAGTTCACTTAATAACCAGGTAGGAAAAGCTGCATTTTCAAGTTAAGATACTGCAGTAAAATGTTTGGGGTCTAGGATATTTGTGGAGTCCATTATATGAGTCGCACCACTATTTGTAAATCCTAGAATCTGTTATGCAAGCTATGGTGAGGTTAAAGAGTGATCTGATTGAGATTTTTTAAAAAAAATTAAGGGAATTGGCAAACTAGATAGGGAGTAACATAATAACTCTTTGCTAGAGGGATCCTAAAACAATGATATATAATTCTAACCTAAACTGGTTAGAAGTGATATTCTAAAATATTTTTTCACACATACGGTTTAATACCCTGCCACAGAAGATCATAGATTTAGAATCTATTCGAATGTTTAAAAGGGAGATAGATAATAATAATAATAATAATAATAATCCTTGCATTTGATATAATGCCTTATCATGTTGTTGAAACTTGTCCCACAAACAGTCGTGGATTGAGTGATCAAACTATTATTTTTTTAAAATTTGAAGGGATTATATTCTTTGCCAATCAACTAGCAGTTGGGTTCCTACCTACTGCTAGGTAAATAGAGGGGTGTGGAGTAAAGAAAATGGCCTAAGGTTTCGCCCTGCCCGAGAATCGATGCAGATCCTCTCGTTTGTGAGGTGAGTGCTCTAACCAATTCACTACAGCTTGGTAACAATATTGAATGATCAAGTTCTTCAAAGAGATATGTGAGTAAAACGCTTACACAGTTTAAAAAGAAATAGTATATAGTGATTCTTTAGTTCTGAAGAGGCCTTTCAACATTTAGTTTGCAAACAGGACTCCATGGGTGAAGGGTAAATATTTCATATTGCATAAGGAATTATTCTTTATTTGAACTCCTGCTTTTAGAACTGAAATCCAGGCGGTGTCCAAACATATAATAAGGAATAGTATAAGGAAACGTAAAACTTGCTGGACATTTTCACATAGGGTACATATCCATATGAGTTATTATAGAATACAATTACAATTTCTAACTCTGAAACTCTCTTTCTCAATCCCTCCGCTTTGCCCGCTCCTACCCCATCTTCAGTTCGGCCTGAAGACCTTTCTATTCGACTGCGCTTACAGTTGCCCCCCCCCCCTCCACCCGGCCTGGTGTTGTGCTCCGCCACTCTCAAGTGGCCACTGTGTGAGGGGCATGAAGGTGCTATATAAGTTATTGTTGTTATACAATAGAACTCTGGAATGCTGTAAGTTCCAGGGGAAATAAAATGGCAGAATAAAATAATAATATTCATAACTTCAGGATGTCTAGGATCGAATTTTGCTAACAATTTCCTCATTACTTTCTCGAGCTTCACCATTCACAAAATGGAACTTATCTACAACAACAAGATTCCATTTATAAAGCGCCTTTCACGTCAGGAGGACGTCCCAAGGCACTGCACAGTTGGGTCATGACCCGAGCAGGGGGGAAATGGTCAGGGTGAGGGGAGGGAAGGGAGGGAGCGAGGAAGGGGGAAATGGTCAGGGTGAGGGGAGGGATGGGAGGGAGCGAGAAGGGGGAAGAGAGTCGAGAGGGGAGCTGAAGGCTCGGTCAAAGAGAAAGGTTTTGAGACCGGCCTTGAAGGAGGAAAGGGAGAAGGCGGCGAAGGCACTGGGGGATAGAGTTCCAGAGCCTCGGGGCTGAGAGGCTGAAGGCCCGACCACCAATGGTAGGGCGATTGGGGCGGGGGACGTGGAGCAGACCGGAGCCGGAGGAACGGAGGGTACGGGCAGGTAGGTAGGGGGATAGTAGGTTGGAGAGGTAGGAGGGAGCAAGGCCGTGAATGGCCTTGTAGGTGAGGATGAGGATCTTGAAATCAATCCTCTGGGGGATGGGGAGCCAGTGGAGGCGAGCGAGGGTGGGAGTGATGTGGTCCCGAAGCCTGGTGCGGGACAGTACACGAGCTGCAGAGTTCTGAATGACCTGCAGCTTGTGGAGGGAGGTGGCGGGAAGGCCGGCGAGGAGAGAGTTCCCATAGTCCAGCCTTGAGGTGACAAAGGCGTGGACCAGGGTTTCAGCAGCGTGAGGGGTGAGGTAATGGCGTAGTCTGGCGATGTTCCGGAGGTGATGGAAGGCGGTGCCAGTTGTGGTGCGGATGTGAGGGAGAAAGGACAGCTCAGGGTCGAACAAAACGCCGAGGTTCCTGACTGGCTTTGAGAGGTGGAGAGTGCAGCCTTGGATGCTGATGGTGTCGGCGCCTGAGGTGCGGAGGCGCTGACGTGAGCCAATCAGGAGGGCCTCGGTTTTTCGCACGTTGAGCTGAAGAAAGTTGTCTCTCGTCCAGGACTCGATGTCGGACAGGCAGGCTGTCAGGACATCGGTGGTCGTGGAGTTGAGAGTAGAGGAGGAAAGGTAGAGTTGGGTGTCATCCGCATACATGTGGAAGTTAACTCCATGTCTGCGGATGATGTCACCAAGGGGGAGCATATAGAGGGTGAAGAGGAGGGGACCGAGGACAGAGCCCTGAGGGACTCCACATGAGACAGTACGGGGGTGGAGGAGAAGCCATTCGTCGAGACAAAGTGAAGACGGTGAGAAAGGTACGACCTAAACCACTCAAGGACAGTGCCTTGAAGGTTGAGGTGGGAGGACAAGCGGTGGAGTAGGATAGCGTGGTCGACCGTATCGAATGCTGCCGATAGGTCGAGGAGGACGAGGAGGCAGAGGGAGCCCTGGTCACAGATGGTCAGGATATCATTGGTGACCTTGACCAGGGCAGTTTCTGTGCTATGGGCAGCACGGAAACCTGACTGAAGGGGTTCGAAAAGAGAATGGGTGGAAAGGAAAGAGCGCAGTTGGGAGGCGACAACTCTTTCCAGGACCTTGGAGAGAAAGGGGAGGTTGGAGATGGGCCGGTAGCTTGATAGCTGCGACGCATCAAGGGAGGGTTTTTTCAGGGTGGGCGTGATGATGGCAGTTTTTAAGGGAATGGGGACAGAGCCAGAGGAGAGGGACAGGTTGATGATGTCAGTGATATGTGGGGCAAGAAAGTGGAGCTGGGAGATAAGGAGTGGAGTGGGGATGGGGTCAAGGGAGCAGGTGGTTGGTTTTAGGGATAGGATGAGTTTCGTGACCGAGGGTGGGGAAACGGGTACAAAAGTGAGTAGGGGAGGATCGGTAGCGAGTGGGAGTGAGGGGGTGGGGGGTTGGTGGATGTTGGAGGGGAAGTGACCGCGGAGCGAATTCCCTTGATCTTGGATTCAAGGAAATCCAGCATCTCCTCACAGTGAAGGTTGGAGGAGATAACCAGCGCGGGGTGGCGGGGGGATGGAGGAGTCGGGTTGTGGTGGAAAATCTAGGCCTAGAACTGCCATCATTGCCAAACTCCACTGACTCCTTGGCCCACACTGAATTGATTTGAACATCCTCATTTACAGCTGCTTGACGTACTCATTGAACCCAATCTGTGTAATCTTCTCCAGCTCTAAATATCAGCTTACACCTACCTCACTGCTACTCTGACAGGTTTGTTGCTCACTTCCTCTATTTAACCATTGCTGGGTGAGCTTTTAGCTACCACCCTGTTCTCTGGAGTTCTTTTTCCAAACCACCTCAATCAGGGATCTAAGTAAATAATATTCCTTGCATTTGATATAACAACAACAACAAGATTACATTTGTATAGCGCCTTTCACGTCGGGATAACGCCTGCATTGTCAAAATATCTCAAATCTTCAAATCGGCACAAGTAATTATTAAGTGCAGAAACTATGTACATGTACAAAAACATAGCATCCATTTTGTGCACTGCAAAATCCCACAAACAGCTGTGAAGTGAATGATACATTCATTTGTAGATTGATCACCAGGAGAAATGCCCTTCTCTTTTTGAAATTACCAATGGGACACACACAACACAAAGTCATTTTATCCAGGCAATTCCCGTGTAGTGTGTAGTTTGGTGGGGCTTCAGCTTGGACCCAAATTCTTATTGGAATCAAATACTTTTTTTTTGGTCAGCCAGGTGTCTGACACATGCGGAAAAACTATCACCATGTTTAAGTGTTTCCAAACCAGAGTGAATGTTCTGTGCAGGCCACCTTGTGTGTCAACCTGACTCAATCAAACGCAAAGATTCTTATTCTTAGTATACGTTGGAAATTCGTGCTCGCGGGGTTAACGGGAGTTCAATAGGAAGCCCTGTGTGGAGGGCACTATATAAAGTATTGTTATTGGTGTTTCAAACTGGGTAGTTTGCATGCAAAGTTTAAAAAAAAAAGAATTCTTTTAGGAACTGGATCCAGCTGGGTTTCCGAATTAAAATCGGATGACTGTTTAACAAACAAAAAGCAATGTTGTAGTATCCTGACAGCATTCTCCAATCCCTCCCTCACCCCATTTGGGGTATTTGAAATTGCCCATTGTTAATATTTCTGATCTTTTTACTTCTTCCATTTTTTAAAAAAAATAATCTATTACTACTGCCTGCTCCTGGTCTGTAAGTATAGACTATATAGTAAGGTACATGGCTCAGGTGCAGCAAGGAATGGTGCACACATGGACATTGGCAATGCATTGACAAGTACTGCAAATTCCAACATGAAATGTGTCGCCCCCTATAGCTGGATTGGCTCAATTTGAGGATTCAGATCCACGGCAGCACAGTAGCTTTAAGACAGTGTATGTATAGCAGGGAGAAGCCAAACCTCTCTGCAAATGAAGCTTCTCAATTATTTAGGAGCTTCTGTCAATAGACTGTGTGAGTTGCAATGAGGGGAGGAGAGGTTGGTCAGGCAGATGCTGCTCGGTCCTGTGTCTGTGTGACTGGCTGAGTGAACCAGGGAGACACAGAGAGCAGCGAGGCTTCTTCACAGACCAACCCTCAGTGGGCAGTCACCATGGCTTTCATAGTCCACCTGAGGACCATCACCGACCTGCGAGGGAAGAGTGATCGGATCGCTAAAGTAGTCTTTCGAGGTAAGGGATGCTGTTTAACTGGCAAACGGAAAATCTTGACAAATCCGTCATTTTGCATTGCTTAGCTATTAGATGCAATGTGTTGTCGAAATGCAGCAGCACAGAGCATGAGAAGTCCACGTTCATGCATCAAGCAACATTTGGTGAACTAGCTGTCACTGACCATGTAGCTGGATGTTTGGACCTGGTAAACATCCATCCAGTTTTGCCAGAGAGAGAGAGAGAAAAGTTGTTGAGCTTCGATGCCTTAACTGTGTTGTGTATAACGTTGCAGATTGCGATTTCTCTGCACTGAAATCGACCTGACATCAATATGATCAGGTCAAAGTTAATCCGAGTTAACTAGTTATACTATCTGTAGAGTATAATAAATAATAGGTCATTTATAAACTAAATGCACTCACTTTTAAAATATAGTTTAATAATAATGATAATCCTTGCATTTGATGTAGCGCCTTATCACATCTTCAAGATGTCTCAAAACGCTTCACAGAATATACTGTAAAGTGAATTGACTGTATATTTTGTGGTTGAATTTAATGTATAATACAAAGCCAGATTAGCTCAGTTGATAGCACTCCCCTCTGAATCAAAAGGTTGTGGGTTCAAGTCCCACATCTCAGATTTGAACTCATAGTCCACCCTGACACTCCACTGCAGTGCTGAATTGTCAGAGATGCCATTCCTTGCAATGAGCAGTAAAACTTTGCAGGTTTTTTTTTCAGGTAAAACTTACCTGTCTTTTCAGGTAGACATTAAAGATCCCGTAGCACTATTGGAAAGAGTAGGGAGTTTCATCTAGCATTCCCAGCTAACAATCCTCCAGATAAAATTGGTCATTCACTCTATAGCTGTTTGTGGGTCGTTGTGGTGTGCAAATCAGCTTTTTATTCACCCACAAATGCACAGTCACTGTACTTTACAGTATATCCTGTGAAGCATTCTGAGAGAATGTGGAAAGGTACTTTGACGATGTGATAAAGTGCTACATTAAATGTAAAAACTATTATTAAATGTTCCGTTACAAGGGCAGCAGTTGTGCTATTTAAATGCATTATTCACTTCCCTTCTGCAAAAAATATTCAATTAAATCTTGCTTGGAAAATATAGTTGATGTTAGTTAATAAAATTTATGTTATCATTACAACCCCTGCATGTAGTACTTGCAGGGGAGAAAATCAGTCCTTTAGAATGGCAACTTACTTGTGTTTCAGTCTTTTAGCTGACCAGAATTAAAATCACTATTTTGATGTTCATTTAGACTTGTTGTTACCATTCTTCATTTGTGGAACTGCAAGAGGATGGTTGAGGGACTGGTGATGTAGAATACAGAATCACTGAGATAGGGGAACAGGATGGTGAAGAGAGTAAGGGAGGAGGGTAAAAGCTGGATCTAATAGGAAGATAATAATAATCCTTCCATTTGATGTAGCGCCTTATCAAATCATCACGACATCTCAAAGCACTTCACAGAATAATGTAAGGTTTGACTGTATATTGTGTGGGTGAAAAGCAGCCACCAATTCAGCACAGCATAATCATGGATTGAGTAACAAAATTATTTTTTCATCAGACACCAAGTGATGAAATAGTGAACAAAAAAGAATTCAAGGACTGGTTAAACTGGGAGAAAAATGGAAGAGGAGGGGAAGTGAAGAAACCCAAGAAGCACGTACAGCGCAGCTCCCCCCCGCCCACCCCACCCCATAAAGTCTCTCTGACAGCTTACTAGTTTTTAGATGCATTTTAGAAGAAGTCATCTGTGCTAAAATGTAAGAGTGAGTTAAGCAGAGGACAGAGGCAGCTCTATGTTGCAGTGAAACCAGATATTCATACAGTTTTCATTCAACGCACATAATAATTCAGCTTTTTTAACAAGACAGTGTTGATTGTAATGCTTTAAGGGAATTAGAGGTATTGTTTGATGCTGAATGTTGAAATTTCCCATGTTTTGCAGTTCTGCTCATGAATAAAGCAGCAATCAAACTGTAGCTAAAAAACGCTTATATATCGCTGAACCTTTGCGCTATCGGAAAGTTACTGATCTGTATAGAGTTACCATAAAATGAGCTTCCCAATGAAAACGTAGAACCAAGAGTGAATATTTTGCAAGAACATTATGATCTGACTGTCCAGTGCTTTGGGATCCCTTCCCAGTGTGAAAATCCCAAACAAATGCTGTTGTTGTAGACCTATACAATGTTTAGTAAACAAAAACGAAATGGGCTAAAAACGATTATACCACATGTATAGCATTGCAATTGAATTTTAATTGCTTAAGCTGAAAGCAATTAACTGAACACAGTAATTACTGCCCCTCGAGTGAAGATTATATGCTGCACAGTATGAAGGATTGCTCAATTATTAGAGTGGAAATAAACACATAACATGTTTTCTTGGTACATCAATTCAAAGAATAGTTTGAAATAGCTATCTATTTTTTTCTGACTTGCGTTTCATGTTAATTTGTATATCTAGAATGCAAAATACAACACCGAATATCACCTCTTTAATATTTAAGAATAACTTTACTTTTAAGCCACCGTGGCCTAAAGTGGCTTCAGTCATTCTGACCGAACAGAAAAGAACGATTTTCCCAGAATCAATACAATGGGGATCTCGTTCAGCTGACGATGAGTGCTATTAATGAGATGTTATATTTGAGTGGCATTTCAACTTGAAAAGTTGAAGAAATCAAGCAAAAAATGTGCTTTGATATCATTGGATGCCATCATACTTGATTAAATTCCAGCTAAATAGCAGCCTTAAGCCTCAGAACTCACCCATTGCTGGTTCCAGACAATGTGCTGCCTCACACAAGAATTTATTTCAGAAATTACAGGGAAGATTTTAAAACATCTCAAACTGAGGGTAGTTACCATTGGCTAACATTTCCGTTTGTGTCTAGATTTATTGCATTTTCTTAGCATTTTCAAGTGTCCAGAATTTTGCAAACTGTTAAATATCCTCTGACATATATTGAGGTAAGAATCTGTATCCCTCTAAAAGGAATTAGATAAATGCTCGACAAGAAGGAATATTTATAATAATAATTCTTGCATATGTTATGATGTCATTCATATCAGGAGGAGCCTTAAAGTGCTTCACAGGATATACTCTAAAGTGTAATGACTGTTTATAGGCAAACTTAAACTTGACTCAATTGCTAGCACTCAGAAGGTTGTGAGATCAAGCCCCACATAGGAACTATGAGACTCATAGTCTAGATGACACTGCAAGTAGTGCTGAAAGAGGCATCATTCTTCAAGTGAGATGTTAAACCAAGTCTTAACTGCCTGTTCAGGTTGATGTTAAAAATCCATTGTTATTATGCGAAAAAAGGGAGTTTTTCGCTAGCCAACAATCCTCCATTTAAATTAATCATCCTCCTGGCTGTTTGTGAGATATTGCTCTGCACAAATTGGCTGACATGTTTGCCAGCACATATGCAGTTATTACACTTTACAGAAACCTTTGAAGTGTTTTGAGATATTAGAAGTGCTACCTCATAAGCAAGGAAAATAATTATTCAAGGGGTTGGTGAACAAGTAAGCAAGTAGGATTAGACTATGTGGTTCACATTCGGAACAATACCAACACAGATGTGATGGGCTGTACAACTTGTTTCTCAGCTGTAACATTTTATGATTGATTCTGTGTAGTGCAGCTACAAACGGGATCAATTTAGCTCTCACTGGCCTAATTGAACAATTGCTAGTTAAGTTTGTAAGATGCTGCCTTGCCTGCCCAACACATTTCACGTCACTCCAAACAAAGTTTAACAAGATTGAACTCTGTTGTACCTTGATTGGTGTGACACGATATGTGACCAAATCGATTTTGTGCACAGACACAAAGACACTTACTTAAAAATATCTGTTATCTAAATCAATGTCATATCCTGCACTCTAAACATTTATTAGATGTCTGGGAATAAACAGCATATGCAGGAAAACAATCTGACAACAAATTCAATTCTGTAGCATAAGCAGCGGAAACTGATGACTACTCAGTCCAACGGGCTATATTTTCAAATAATGTTCCATTCTCAGATAGTTTTATTGAACATTTTAAGAGACATTTTAGTGAGCATTAGATTACATTAAAGAATATGGTTGATTGATCAAGGTTGAAGTTATTGGAAAAGTCTAGCCATGAATACATCCTGTCTACTTTTGAATTATTTTATTCATTAAATTAAATCTTACATTTAGTATTGAATCAGTCAGATAAAGTAGAAACAGAGTGAAACAACTGAAGTGTTAAATCTTTCTTGGAAGGTGCTATACAAGTTTTCTTGTCCCTCAATTTTCATTTCCAACTCTCAGTGTTATGAATTGTTACTGAACAAACTAAGCAATGTGGAGGAGAGGAAGAGCAGAGAGAATTGTGGAATGCAATACGGTAACTAACACAATCCACATTTACCTCCGCACATAGCTGTTCCTCTACTAGTTTTGAATAGTTTGTACTTTCTCTCTTTGAATTAAATGAAGCCGAACTGGGAACTGAATCCACATGATGATGGACCTCACATGATAATTCAATTTTCGAGATGTCTCAAAGCGCTTCACAGAATATACTGTAAAGTGAATTGATTGTATATTTTGTTGGTGAAACACAGTAGCCAACTGTACACAGTGGTACCTCACAAACTGGTGGATTCAGTCAACCTTCTTTTTAAAAAATATATGTATATACACTGCAGCTGATCCAATAGACTCAATTGGGGCCAATCTCTGAGAGGTGTTTTTGGAAACAGAAATCACATCCCATCAATCCTACAAGTGTAAAAGAAATATAGTTTTGCATTTTAAGCAACAGCTGGTCAATCTATGTTCAGCAACAATCATTACAATTTACAGGAAATCTTGTGAAGTGCTTGAGACATTTCAACAATATGATAACACACTATATCAAATTCAAGGACTATTTTTATTATTATATTATATTACTGTGTTGGCATCTGAATACATCTTGTGTATGAATTTCCTTGAAAA